CCTAAAACGTTGTTTATGGCAATCCTGGGGACAGTTTTCGTCTTGATTCCGTTTTCGATGTGCTCTCGTTGTTGGGGCCCTTGGGAGCGGATCGCGGCCCCAGGGATGTACCAAAACGCTGTGGGGGCACTTTACCGGATTGTTTTCGTTTTGGTGCGAGCACCAAGCGGAAACGTAAAGCATTTACGTTGATCGATTCTTGAGGAGCACGGCGCCGTGCAGCTGAACGTCGGCCAGGTGGACGAGACTGGGCGCTACACTGGCGAGTTCTACTCGTTTGCCACGGCCAAAGCGTCCTCTCTGGAGATCCTCTATGCCACCTCCAGTCCAGTCCTTTCTCCCTTACCCTCCCGCTTCCTCCCTCCGTCGACATACAATAGCCGAAGAACTAAACATGGGACCATGACCAAGTTGTCACGGAATACTGTCGACACCGATCTTGATCATGGTCCATGCTTATCGCCGCCGATTCGCAAGTTGATTATGACCAGGATGGGCGGTAACCAATATCGTCACCAACGTTTCCACGCTCAGTCTTGGCAATAGTCATCGTGTTCTTTCCCTCCAGAATGTCGCCAACTGCAACGAGACGTCGTGAGCAACGTCAAAACCAGAGCTCTCGGCCCAGTCGTAACTTGAGGGCCCCAGGGGCCAAAAAGATGAGCAGTCACACCCGTAGAGGTTGCTTCAAGGATGTCTGTTGGGGACGAGTGAATGACTGACTCGGGAGGGGGTTACTCACCAGGTTGCGCGGTGGGATTATGCAGTGTATTTGTTTATATTCCTGACGGGTGTTTCAGAGCCTTTGCTTCTTTTCGAGCCGCCTGGTTGCTTCAAGCAATCTAGGATTGTCCTGCTAGGGCCGTAGCCGCCACCAAGCGGATCTCGGCGGTTCAATGGCTAATTTTTCTTGTTTGCCCGTGCCAGGTCACGTCAATCACGGGCTGCGCCCGAGAGGTCGTCAGCTTCATGTGCAGGTCTTTACTCCCTTGGCGTCTAGCAGCATCTCGTCTTTACCACTCCGAGGGGGTGGGCATTGCACGCAATATGTACATCGATATCCACAGCGACTTGGAGTTTTGGGCTCCCTTCCTCCCGAGGCGCGCAGTGGATATGGATGAACTTTGGCCCGTGAGGCTAGATTGTTATCCATAGCCATTGCGCCTCGGCCTTTTGGCGCCCCTTTCCCAGAAAGTTCAAGAAGCCGTGGACATGGATACAACTCTTGCCCGCACGTGTACCTACCCTGACTGCTCCTTTTTTCCCTTCGGTGTCCATTCCTGTGTTCTCTTGCCCGTCTGTCGGCTGTTGGGCCTCTGCTGCGCTCGGCTGTCAGACTTCTTGCGTCGCGGCGCCGCAGGGCGTGGAGGAGGAAGAGGGCATCACAAAGGGGGCGAGCAGAAGGGGAACAAGAGGAGAGAGGAGGACGAGGTGGGTGGAGTGATGAGGGGGAGGAGCAGGAGGAGGAGGACGAGGAGGAGGAGGAGGAGGAAGAGGAATTGGAGGAGGAGGAGGAGGAGGAGGAGGAGGAGAGCAGGTTCCCTCTTCATAGGCCCCTACAAGGGCTCATTGCCACTGAGGGAATTGCCTCGTAGGGGGACAACTGTGTAAAAATCCTGAAGCGTTCCAGAACACCATTCTCAGGAGTCCAACGCCACGAGTTAACCTGACTGGCACGACTCGGCGATCCTGAATCGTGTCAGAACACCGTTCCTGGGATTGAACACCGCGCATCAGCGTACATGTTGCGCCAGGTCAATCCTGATTCGTTCCAGAAATTCACTTCTGATGCGTTAACTATGAGAACCAGTTGAATTCTGGCAGTGTTTTGGAACAAATGTGCGCGGCGCTGAGGCGAGAGCCACATTCTGAAAACCACCTGCTCTCAATCCGTGGAGCTCTTGCAGATGTTTGTAGCGAATGTGCGCGGCGCTATGGCGAGAGGCACGCTTTGAAAATCACTTGCCCTCAACCCGTGGCTGTGGACCGGTGGGCCCGGAGGACCACCGAGTGGAGAGACAACGTCTGGTGGAGGGAACAATCCAGAGGAACGGCCGCCTGTCCGATCCGTTCGCGCCCGGGGCGGTTTTCAAGATGGGAGGATGATTTGGTTTTGTTCGCTCGGGAGAAGCACTGGGAGTCGTGGGTATCTGCTGCGCAAGGCGCAGAAGTATGGTCTGATTACGAGAGCGAGTACGTGCAATTCTCATGGAGGTGACGAGGCGCACCATATTTTCCACATTCGTGATCCGCCAGCGTCCCTCTTGCCTCTGTCGCCTCCTCCTACTCCGCACAGGCACTGAATCGCCATGCGTATGTTGCAGCATGTTCCCGGTCCTCTCAGAGGGCCAGCGCGCTACAGGCGCGCCTGCCTCCCTTGCAGGGACGCCGGCCCTTCCCGGCGACGGCGGTTTCGTTCGTTCGTTCGTTGCCCTCAACCCGTGAAGCGCTTGCAGATGTGTGCGCGGCGCTAAGGCGAGAGACACATTTTGGAAGCGACCCGCCCTTCATCCGCGAAGCTTTCGCAGATGTTGAAGACGAGTGTACGCGGCGCTAGGGCGAGAGCCACATTTTGAAAACCTCCCGCCATCCATCCGTGAAGCTCTTGCAAATGTTTAAAACGAGTGTGCGCGGCGCTATGGCGAGAGCCACATTTTGGAAGCGACTAGCCCTCCATCTGTGAAGCTGTTGCCACTTTCTAAGCGTCAGGACCATGAATGGAAAGGAAGTCCCAGGCGAAGCGCCGGGCCCGCCCTTTCGACCAGCCTCGGGGTGAGACAGGGAGGAGTTATCTATAATGAAAATGATTGGAGGGAGAAGCAGGAGGAGGTTGGAAGGCCCTATGGGGCTGCAGATGTTTCTGAGTGCTTCTAAGGGGGCCTCATGGTGTTCTGATGGAGAGCGTGGTAGACGACGTTCAGGAGGAATAGTAACGGAGGGAGCGGAACAGGGGTGAAGGAGGGGGAGGAGGAGGAGGACGAGGAGGAGGAGGAGGAGGAGGAGGAGGAGGGAGGGCGGAAGAGGAGGAAGAGGACGAGGAGGTGGCGGAGATGGACCAGCGTAAACCCATGACTCATTAGCGATGTTGGAATAAACCCTCCCCCAAACCTCCCTCTTCACGGGCCCCTACAAGGGTTCATTTCCACTGACGGAAGTGTCCCGTTGGGAGACCGTTTGAAGATCCCGAACCGTGCAAAATCAATATTCTCCGGAATTCAGCGTCACGAATGAAAGTGATTGTTGCGCCTTTACGATCTTGAACCGCGCCAGGACACTATTTTCGGGATTTCAACACCGCGAATCAGCGTAACTGCTGCGCTCATCCAAGATATCATTTCTGGTACGTTGAACATCAGAACCAGTGAAGCGCTTGCAACGTTTTGAAACACATGTGCTCGACGCTGCGGCGAGAGCCAAATTCTGAAAATGAGCAGCCTTTACTCCGTGAAGCCCTAGCACACGTTTCAAGCGAATGTGCGCGTCGCTAGGGCGAGAGCCACATGTTGAGAACCACCTTCCCTCAATCCGTGAAGCTCTTGCATGTTTTGAAACGGATAAGCGGCGCGGGGGCGGGAACCACATTTTGAAAACGAACCGCCCTCAATCCGTGAAGGTCTTACACATGTTTCAGACGAGTGTGCGCGGCGCTCAGGCGAGAGCCACATTTTGAAAACCACCCGCCGTCAATTCGCGAAACTCCTGCGCATGTTTGTAACGAGTGTGCGCGGCACTAGGGCGAGAGCAACATTTTGAACACGAGCCGCCCTCAATCCGTGAAACACTTGCAATATGTTGAGGCGAATGTGCGCGGCGCTATGGCGAGAGCCCCATTTTGAAAACCATGCGCCCTCAATGTGTGAAGCTCTTGCCATTTTTCAGCTTCAGGATCAGACATGGGGAACAAGTCTCAGGCGAAACGCTCGGCCCGCCTTTTCGACCCGCTTCGGGATGCGACAGGGAGGAGTTATCTATAAGGAAAAGAAATGGAAGAAGAGGTGAGGGCGGGTGCTGAGGATGCGGAGGATGAGAAGGAGGGGAGGGGGAGGGGAAGGGAGTATGAGTCCTGGACAACGGGTGCGGGACTGTAAGGCCCTTGCGGGCTTCATCCGCAAGCGGGGCGAGAGCGACTCGTGCCTGAACCGCTTGCTGCACGAGAAGGGCATGCTCACCTTCTCCAAGTGAGGGCGCGCTCACGGGGGAAAGAGGAGGAGGAAGAGTAGCAGGAGGTTGGGCATGATGATGATGATGGTGATGATGAGGAGGAGGAGGGGGCGGAGGAGGAGGAGGAGGAGGAGGAGGAAGAGGAAGTTGCAAGCGTTGACAGGAGGAGGTTTCACATGTATTCAGGTAGTTCCTGCCTCGTTGGACGGTTTCCGGGTAGTCATCGGGCGTTCCGGTAGGTTACCGCACGTTTCTCGAAGCGGGGAAGAACAGGGGGGGGTCATGGATTTCTGGCAATTTTCTTTCTGGGGGGTTCTGCGAGGATGACGAGACGTCCCTGATTAAGCCCAATCGCGGATATCACAGTAAGTCCTCCAGCATCGCGACGCAATTCCATGTCAAGGGGATGATTTCGTTGTCATTATGGCGAACGTCTGCTGAAAAAAGGTGAGGGACCACTCATGGTGTTGGCTTATGAATGCGCGAAGCAACAACTTGCTTACACACATTCAACCAAGCCCGACGTTACAAAACACAGTCCGTATAAAGGGGATCCCTCACACCATGTAGTTGCCGTAAGGTTGGGGAACAGTGTTCGCGGGGCCGGGTCGGCAGCACGACTTTGAACAGGAGCCGCCATCCCTCTCGGCATCATGGACCTTTTCAGCGCACGGGTGGTCCAGGCGACAGCCAGACTTCGAACATTGACCGCCCTCTGTCTGCGTAGCGGTTTTCGAATTCCCAGTCTTTGTCGCAGAGCAGGAGGAAGGGATAGGTGAGAGCCAGAATCTGAAAGTGGTCCACCCTACTGGCGATTAGCCCTTGGAGACTTTTGAAACCAATGTGCGGGGAGGTCAGGCGAGAGCCAAATGTTGCCAGCAACGTGTGCTCAATTCGTGCAACTTCCGGGTGCAGCTTTACAGTGAGGGATCGTGTCATCCATGGAATAGTTACATGTTGGACGCGGCCCGTGCTCCACATGTGTACGTGGTGGACATTATCTAGACGAGCGTTCGCGGCCCCAGGACATGGGCCATACATAAACAAGGGTACTACCTTAATCCGTGTAGCCGTGGACAGGGACGTACGTGTTCGGCGCTTAGGCGGGAGGCACATGTTGAAAACACACATACGGGGTTGTTCACGATCTCATGGCGAATGACCACGGCCCTCGTGTGAGAGCCACATGTCGAAAACGGCTTGCTCCATCTGCACATATTCTGGGCACTTGGCATATCCTTCCTGGTTCTGCTCTTCGTCTTGAACCGAGCACAGTGGTCTCCAGCCTCCTTCCCGCCACCCTCCTTCTCCCGTCGTTTTTCTCTTACCTTTTACGCATCCGCCGCCGCTGCCTACCCCCCAACCCACTATTGTATTCTTACCTGCCTCCCACCTCGCCTTCCTGGGGGTGGGGCGGGGGGGCGTGTGCGCAACAGTCGCCACTTCCGTGGGCTCTTGGCAGGTGCAGCGAAGTGGTGCTTTACGCAGATCCATACGGAACGTCGCCCTCCCTGGAGGGCTGGCCAGTGCGCAACCGTCGTCACTTTCGTCGGCAGATGGGAGGAAGGTGCAGCGCAGTGGTGTCATACGGGGATCCAGGCGGGACCTCGCCCTCCCTGGGGGGTGGCACGTGCGCACGTGTCGTCACTTCCGTGGGTTCCTCAGATGTGCGGTGCAGGAGCGTCTTACGCACATCCAGACAGGACCTCGTCCTCCTTGGGGGGTGACAAGTGCGCAACTGTCGTCACTCCCGTGGGCTCCTAGGAGGTCCTGCGTGACGGTGGTTGCTGTCTCACTCGAGCCTCCGATGCAGTTTTCACAGCAATTGGCGTTCATTGTCGCGTCTTCACCAATAACACCTTGCACCAACGTTTTGGCATCTTTTTTGCTACTGGGTTGGATCTGTCGCAGGGTAATCCGACGGATATGCGCGGTGCGATGGCGGGAACCATGTTTCAAATCCACCCGCCTCTCATTCGCGTATCACGTGTGGATTTTCAAGCTTTAGGGCCGTATTGTGTGAACGATGGCAAGTTTAGGAACAACAACAGAAGCCGAAATGTCTGACACGCCCTGCCAAAGAATCTGGCGATGCCACGAAGCGGGGTCATTCGTTAGAAGTCATCTAGTGGCCTTCGGCCTAGCCCACCGCTGTGCTTGGGTTGTGGGCCAGAGGCCTTCTTGGATACAGCTGAAGATCTCCTGGGATGCCTCTCGGGGGCCTGTTGGATGCATCTAGTGGGCCTCTTGGCGTCCTCTCGGAGGTTTCTTGGAGGCCTGTTGGAGGCCTCTTGGGAGCGTAGCGGGCCCCCCTGGGGGGATTTTGATCCATCGTGGGGTGGTCGGTAGGCTCGAGAAGCCCCTTCGCGTTTACCTTGTTCGGCCACTCTCGGGGGCATCCTGGGGCTCCGTCGTGGGGTTCCTGGGCCGTCTTGGGGCGATGTTGTCTTGGGTCGTCTAGGTCCCTCATCATGATAGCAAAAACAGCGTGTGAAAATCGTTGGGAAACATGCCGGTGTTTCGTGCTGTTGGCTTCCTGGACAGTTCCCGAGGGCATATTGGTCCGTCCGAAGGCTCTCTTGGCCCATCGTGGTGCTCTGTGGCCTCGGGGAAGGTCATGCGACAGCACGCCAGCGGCCCAATGACATTTGGAAATTGAGGCTTCTGCATGGGCGTCAGAGAGTATACATGTGTATATATATATATATATGTACACATATGTTTAAATGTATATATACACCTAAAAGGACAGAGGGAGAGCGAGAGAGGGAGAGAGAGAGAGAGAGAGAGAGACAGAGAGAGAGAGAGAGAACTCGAAGTGACCTGAGGACGCTGCGCTGGATGCCTACGGTACGGTGGCGGATGTTAAGGGGGGCGTGGGGGGAGGAGGTTAAGAAGGACACGGTTCATGACCATGACGACAAATTAGGACGAGGATGAGGAAGAGTGTTTCAGTATGTCCACTTGGCTTTCGCGGAGTATTCCAGATTTCAAAGGGTTTAGGGGGGTTTCTTAGATGTGAAAGGTTCTTGGAGGAGCAGAAGCAGGAGGCGAAATCCTCACCCCTGGCGCTCCCCGGGGAAATCCCCGAGAAGAGCTGCCGCGATTCCCGCCACCGATGATGACGGCAGGTGGCTGCGGGGAAGAAACATCGCGCACAGAATGCCATCTCCGCACGGCCGCTTCGTGTCCGCGTGATGACTGTCATGATTGCCGTCGGTGGCACAGGCTCCCCAGGGCCAGTGTCACCGACGTCGCGCGAGCGGTCAGCCTCACTCGGCTGGCCTACTCTCGGCGTTCCCTGTCGTTCTTCGTGCCCGCGTGATGACTGTCGTGACTGCCGTCGGCGTTGCAGGGCCCCCAGGGTCAGCGTCACCGACGTTGCGCGAGCGGTCAGCATCACTCTGCGGACCTGCCTTCGGGATCCCCTATTGTGCTTCGTGTCCACGTGATGACTGTCATGACTGCCGTCGGCGTTGCAGGGTCTCCTTGGCCGTCGGGAGGCCTGGGGGGAGGAGGATGGTCGGGAACTCCAGCCGCGACTTCCTCACGACGTTTTGCATTGTGCTACGGCGCGGAAGTCTCAGGTAGAGCTGCACGAGGAGGAGAAGGAAGTGGAAGAGGCGGGGCCCCGGGCGCCGCTTTTCGCGAGGAGCAGGACCGCGTCTTGCATGCAGTGCCGCACGGCAGCCCTGACATCGGCGCTCACCCCCTCGCATTCACCCCGGTGGCAGGACCGGGACGGTCCGAGCAGGCGCTCGAGAGGAGCGGTCCGTGGGGTCCGCAGCCGTCGCCGCAGCATGCTCCCGCTCCGCTGGGCGCCATGCGGCGGGGCCGCGGGCCCGCGGCGGCGGCACCGGCGCCGCGCCGGCGCCCCGCGGCGGCTGCCCTCGCGGTGCGGCGCAGGCTGTGGCTGAAGGGGCGGCTCGGCGGCCTCGCGGCGCCCGCCCCGCCACAGGGCTGCGGCGGCGGCGCGCCCCGCCGCTGCGGCGCGGCATCTGCGGCGGAGGGCAGCACCTCGGCCGGCAGCGGCAGCAGCGCGGCCAGCGTGGCCAGCAGCGGCGTCAGCACGCCCGGCTGCGCCGCGGCCATGGACGCCGCCGACGGCGTCAACGGCGCCGCCACGGGCGCGGCCCGCGGCCAGGAGGGCCCCAGCGGTGCCGAGGGGCCGGCAGGCCACAGCGGACCCTGTGCGCTGGCGCCCGCAGGCAGGCTGGCTGCGGGAGGGGCCCCGCCGCGAGTCGCTGGCGCTACGGCAGGCGAATGCTCGGCGCACGCCGCGGGCGTTGCCGTGGGCTCGGAGGACCATCGCAATCGTAAGATTCTGCCCAGGCCCTGCTCTTGGGATTCCATCTCAAGCCCCTCCCTCGAAGAAGACACACCTGTATAAATAGGAGCTTCCAGAGCTCCGCGCGAATTTCTGGGATCTACGCTGGATGGGGTCTCAGCGCAGATCCAAGAAATCCGCGCGGACCTCCAACAGTTTATATTTATGCTGTCTGTTTTTCCTCTGCTACCCCCCAGCTGACATCGCGGTTGGGGTGTGGTTTGCCCCGCGGCTTGCAAGGCACAAGATATCCGGGAGGGAGGTTCTCGAGGCGCGGACTACATCGGCCCAATGAAAGTTCCTTGATAATGTTGGTCCCATCGATCGCTCGCGGAAGCCGACGTAAGTAAAACGAGGCGGACGGCGGAAAGCCGTCGGAAGGCCTGCGGAAGACAGCGGGAGTAAATGACGCCCCGTCCGCACCCCCCCACCCCCGTAAAAGCTTAGCATTGTAGTCTTCTGCCGTGGGCCGGGCGGGATACCGCCTAACTTACTCCTTTTTAATATTAAAACTTTAGTTCAGCCAGGCTAAAATCCGACCCATTAAGAATTGGTTAAACAAAAATCCCGGGTCGTCCACGGATCCCGCCATGCTGGGATCGGTTCGAAGTGCGTTTGGGGTTCGAAGTTGCAGCATTCCTGGCGTGTCAGGCTCGTCTTGAGGTCATCTTGAGATCATATCTCGGTCTTGCTTGGATCGCGCAGCCGTCGCGTGTCCTGGGGCCACCCAGGGCGCGCGTGGATCCATCTTGTTGCCATCGGGCCATCTCGGCGTCACTCGTGGCTCATGTGTTTGGTCATCTTCGAGTCGGCCTGAGACGGTCCAGAATCCAGGGCGGGATCGTGTTGGAGTGGCGTCGTCCCAGGGTCGCGCGCGTGAGCGCTGAGCACGCGCGCGCGACAACTCATCTCGCCGATGGGTGTACACACATATACTCCGTGTTGTGAGTTTCCAAGGAAACTTTTGTTGGATCCAAGTAGCAATGGTATCTGCTCGCCAGAGGACCCGCCCGCGCCTGGCCCAGAGCGGCCAAAGGAGACCTCCGCAAGGGGCGACCCGGAGTTCAGCATCAGCTCCTTGGAGGTAGGCGACATCGAGGAGTTCATCGCGCTGCAGGACCTGTTCGCGGGGGAACACCTCGCGCTCTCCCAGGAGATCTACAGCGAGGTGACCTTCCGGGACTGGCAGCTCAGCCTCCTCTGCCCGGAGAGCATCCTCAGCAGGGAGGGCGGCCGCGTCCGCCATGTCAGGAGCATGGTGAACCACGACGAGGAGTGCTTTCGAACCCTCTCCATCCTCAAGGCCTCTGCAAAGGAGGCCAGTGGCGCGACCAGGCTGGTGGGGTACATCATGTTCCAGGTGCACGACGAGTCTGGCCGCACGCCGCGGCGAGGGGGCAGGCACAAGCGGAGGGACGCCGGTCCGTTCAGGCCTTGGGTGCAGGTGAGCGACGGGGGAAATCGGCTGCGGTAGATAGTAACATCACAGACTTGTCCGCTCGTGTTGGATCGAGAGTCTACCGGCAAAGAACGCACACTAAATATCTCCCAGTAGCGCCGGATAACGTTCACGTGGCGCCCTGTAGCGAGCAATAGCGTCCAAGAGCGCCATGTGAGGAATTTGTTTTATTTCTGCTTTGCGCGCGATTGCGCGCGCTATTGGGCACCATGGAAACGACCGAAAGCTTCCGTGAGTTGTTCTCAGGCTGCGCGGACACTCGCGCCTCAGGTTCCCCGCAACGTCGCGCGTGAGCGCCATTTTCTCCACGATACGGTCTGTGTTTTATCCTCTGGCCCGTAACGGTCGCTACTGGGGCCAACCCCCCCGGGTAATGGTGATGATCGTACGCAGGGGGGGGTGGGGGGGCCTGGACCCCGCCCCCCACCCCCACACGCCAGTGCTCACGCGCATACTTTGGCGATCGCAGCGCGCCCCCGCCCCGATGCGCCCCAGCCCGCCCAAGCATTGCTGTTACCCAGGGCCCTTCCACCCCCGGGTAACGACCGCTATCGGAAATAATGGCATAATGAAATGTACCCACGCGGTGTGTCACGCTGGCGGTCCGCGTAAGGCGCGGCGCAAGAACGCTACGTCTTCTCATGTAGGAACCGTCCCCAGACATCCAGCGTTTCGATTTTTTCGAGACGGGCTCCCGACCTCTCGACCACTTCCCTGGGAACGGTTTCTCATCCCGAGTCCTGAGGCCCCGTGAGGGCCCCGAGATGCCGAACACGATGAAAAGCAGCCGTCCCGATTTTTTCGAGACGCCGGCTGTCTGGCTTTGTCCTCGTCGTTGCAGGTGAAGCAGATCTTCGTGCTGAAGCACTTGAGGAGGTACGGCTGCGGGTCGCAGCTCCTGGCGGCCATGCTGGAGGCGCTCGGTCGGCGTCCGGAGTGTGAGGACATCTCAGGGCCCTCTAGACGAGGACATCCCCAGCCAGGACAGTGCAGCATCCATGCGGCGAGAACGGAGAGTGGGGAGTGTTTCGGCTCACGGCTGCAGCTTCGTCGGGCGCCTCAATGCTCAATGTCCTGATTAATGCATGTCCTCGTTGGGGGGGGGCCCTGAGCATCCGCCTCAGCGTGCTGGACCTGAACGCGCCCGCCGCGCTCTGGTACCGCTCCAAGGGCTTCCTCGTGGTCGGGGTGTGCCGCGAGCTGCTCGGGCAGAAGGAGGAGCCAGGGGAAGCAAGGGCACCGACGCTGCTGCCCCTGTTGGGTCTTTTGTGGGGCCTCCTGGGAGGCCCCAGACTCGCTGCGGCCGGACTTGCCTCGAGGTCCTGGTCGGAACGCGCCACACGAGAGGCCCGTGGAGTCGCAGTATGGGTACCTTGTTGCCTTTTGTTTCCCCGAGGAGGCCAACGTGAGCGTCACGGCTGGAATTGCCTCGAGGCCCTCGTCGCCACGGCTGGAATTGCCTCGAGGACCTGGTCAGGACGCGCCACGGGAGAGGTCCGGGGAGTCGCGGTATGGGTACCTCTTTTTGTCTCCCCAAGGAGGCCAACGTGATCGTGTACCAGGACATGCAGCGCCTCGACGGCAGCAGGAAGCTGGAGCCGCTGGCCGTGCCCCTGCTCTTTCGAGACGAGGTGGTGCACGAGGTGGTCCACATAGACTATCCCGACGACGGGGGCAGCTTCGATCTGAGGGTCGTGGGCTTCAACGAGCGGGACAAGTGGCACTACGTGGACTCGCGCGGCCTGTCCATGTGGCAGGGGGACTGCTTCGTCGACGAGGTGGACCTGAACGAGTACTACCGGGACGGCCGGGTGCAGTTCAAGCGGCCCTTGTCCCTGGTCTGGCGCGAAGGGGAGCTGCGGCGCCGGCGGGAGCGCCGGGCCCGGGCGGACGAGAGGCAGGCCGAGATGGAGGACCGTCGCCGGCGACGTTCGGGGGGGGATGGGCTCAGGGGGGATGCACCAGACCCCCAGCATTCGCCGCCCAGGAACATGCGGATGCAGTATCGGCGGCCCGTCGCCGATCTATCGGCGATGCATCGCAGGTTCGAGCTCGATGGTTCTCCCCCTGAGCCGTTCCCCCCCTGTCGTTGCCTCTCAAGCGGGCTGACTGAAACTTTAGGGGTCGTTCACTTCCGCGAGCGCGTTCCACTACAAGCAAAGTGTCTGCTCGCAAACGGCAGACAACAACTCATGTTGTCCTTGTTGCAATGGATCGTGCATCCGCCGCTGCAGATCCAGGCCACTTGCGAGTAGCTACTTTGCGAGTCGTGGAACGCGCTTGTCTGCCACTGCTTCGTGGACTTCTGGCGACATCACCGAGGGCCAGGCCCCCTGCTCTGGGCAACGTTGGCTGAACACCTCACCGATCTTGGCCGGGCCCGATCTTGGCCGGGCCCGATCGGCGAGGTGGTCGGCTGACGTCCGCCGACCTCTCAGCAGCCAGAGCCGGGACGAGCGCCTGCCTCGGGATTCGAGCCGTAAGAGACGGGGGCCCATGCAAGCGGGGGTCAGCCAGAGCGCCTGATCTTGCATGCAGGGTCCTGCAACGCCAGAGTTGCACTGCCCCTGGTTAGCGTTCAGGATCCCGTTGAATCTTGCAGGATCTTACAGGATCCCGCAACGCCTGACTGACCCGGGCTTGCATTGACCCGGGTCAGTGCGTCCCGAGGGATGGCGAAGTTGGCGCCTTGGTCGGCCCATGGTGGCTCGAGCCGCCGCACTTGACCACGCGAGTCATCACGACAACGTGGCAACACGTCTGCCCACCACCAGCAGCATGCCAGACCATGCAGGCGAGGAGGGGGAGGAGCCGTTCGCGCTGCTTCTCCCCAGTCCGCCCCTTCCCCAGAGTTAGACTCCAGTCTGCCCTGGTCCTCATCGCTGGGCGCCAGACCCGACCCCCGACGTCATGTTTTTTTTGATAACCTCGACCCCAGAGGTCTCGACCCCTTCCCCAGGACCGGTTTCTCATCCCGAATCTTTTTTTGACGGTCCCGAGGGCCCCTGGAGGCAAAAAATAGTGAGAAACCGGCCGCCGTGATTTTTTCACGACTCGAGGGGGTCTGAGAGCCATGCTGGTGCGTCCTTTTGGCCTCTGTCCGCCGGCCAGCAGGAGCGGGAGAGGAAGCGGGGCGCCCTCGACGGGCGAGCCCGGGGCTTGGCGAGTCTGCGGATCGCGTGCCGTGGCCAGCGGGCGCCGGTCAGGGGCGCGACCGAGCGATCGCCGCGGTCGCTTGCGATGCGCGTAGCGGTCGGCCGCGTGATCGGAGGGGCGCCTGGGTTCACGTGAGCGGGTGTGGCCCGAGTCGGGTGGCGCGATCGGCGCGCGCGCGGCGCCGAGGTCGTGGTGAGCAGGCGGTTGCGGCAGAAGCACGCGGGACCCGAGGCGGCGCACGCCGGCGCCAGCCGCGGTGGTGCTGGTTAGTGGCCGCGCTGCTCCGTTCTTCGGCAGGCGCTGCCGAACCCACGGGGAGTGTGAGGTTCAGCCCCATCCCTGCAGACGGCGCCGGAATCAGAGGATGGCGAGTTGAGACAATGGTAGTTGGCTTTCGGGGGGGGCCCTGGTCGCCACGCACGGCTCGACGCAGCTCGGAAAACTCGTGCGTTCGGACCCTGGGAGGGGTTGGTCCAGGGACCGATTTTGAGCGGCCGTCGTCTCATCTCGCCCTGCTCCGAAGCACCAGCTTGCCTGTGGCCAGGGCCATGCTGCGGCCCGGGATGGTGCCGATATGCCCGATGCCATGAGGGACAAGGCCCGTTCGCAATGCTGGGATCCAGGGTGGCCCGGGCCAGGCATTTGGCACGGTTGGGGCATTCGTTGAGGAATGTGCCCAAGAGGCTTCAGACCCTCGAGGTCTCCTTATCTGGTGAGGGCGGCAGTGGTATCCATGGCCTAGCCTCAAGCGGCGTTCCACCAGCTTCCAGACCCTGAATTCCTCATCGAAGGGTTCCTTAGCCAATGCCCTCCCCGTAGTGTGCGGTTTCTCTCTGCCATCTGCGGATGTCCTCTGACACCCCACCGCGCGCAATTCTTCCCCTCCGCAGAGGGGGGGCATGGGATAACAAGCCTCACCTGTCCCCGTGGTTTTGGCCGCCTCGCGGCCCGGGCTTGTCCGCGCTGGCCTCTCCCGGCCCCCGTCGCCAGGAGGGATGCTGGAGGTCTGGGTCGCCAGGTAGGGGTCCCCCCCTCCCGGCCGCCCCCCCCTCCTCCCGGCCGCGCGGCCGGTTGGACAGCGGTCGCGCTGCGCCCTTTAGAAGGAAGGGAGGGGGGGCGGGAGGGAGGGAGGGATGGAGGGAGGAAGGGTGAGGAGGGGGGGGATGCGCGGGAACCCAACGACAGTCCAGGGGGTTCCAAGGCGACCCCAGGGAACCGCAATGATGGCCCGAGATGACCCCAGGACGACCCCCCCCCTTCCCCCGACTTCCGTAAGTCTTCTCATCCCTTTGTTCCTCCCTCACCTGCCTGTATTCGGAAGGCCTTGCGGCCAGTGCCGCCGACCCTGAAGGGGACAACGACGACGGCGGCGGCGGCGACCCCGCAACAGCAGATAAGAGTGAGGAGGGTGCCTCTGGGGGAGTGGTCTGGGAGGAAAGGGGCGGGGGGCGAGGTGGCGGCCCCGTTGCCCACGGGGGGGGAGGCGGGGGGGAGGGGTCCCGAGTTCCCCTTGTCCACAAGGGAGCCACCTCCTCTGTCCCCCTTGTTCACGGGTGACCGCCAGGGGAGGGGTCACGTCCCATGGGACGCCCCCCGGGACCCTCTCCCCCTGGACCCCCCTCCCCGCCAGGGGAGGGATCGAAGGGAAGGAGCTTCGCGTCAAATCAATTACGACATGGTTAGATTTCCGTTTGGCTTGGTCTTTTGAGGAGGGCCCAGGGAAAGGGGGGAGCGGCGACGGCGACGTCACGATTCCAACAGAAAAGCGTCGCAAACACGCCGACAAGGTCGGCGGATTTATCCTCCGGCTCCCTCCTCGTCCTCCTGCCTTCCTCGTCGTCGTCCTCAAATTGTCGATGTCCGAGGGTCGTTAACAGAAATCAGGGCCGTCAAGCAACGAATTGGGATGACAAACCAATCCCATAAAGTCGAAAATGGGATTGAACGTGGCGTTGTGAAAGAAGTCGCCGGTCCAGGGGCCAGCGACTCGACAAACGCGCATCGTCGTGGGGCGCACGCAGTTCCTCACATATAGTACAGAAACTTGATTTCGCTGCCCATTATCTTTTCAGCAACCTATGCATAGCTCAGAAGACAAGACCTAGACCCCCCTCGCGGTCATCACGTTCACCCCTCTCGCGCACAATTGCATTCGCAAAACTTCAAAACCATGACCACTACCCCACTCACGGTTACCACACTCTTCCCCTCATGAGGCTCACCGTGACCCGCCCTTCACTGTATTCCCGACAGCCCCATCCAGGTCATGATTTAGGTTCCATGACACGGCCGTGCCACCTCCATCAAGTTCATGCTTGGAACCCCTCTCGGATCATGACCTTCACCTGCCCCTGTTGTGTGGAGGCTTACGGTATGCAGGGCAGGTGGCGTCTGCATTTCTCATCGTGCCTCCGAGTGTTGCGCAAACCTTGCAGTTGTGGTCTTGGGCGAGGGGCGAGTGTGCAGTCGGGGATAGGGAGCCAAAAGGACAGAGTAAGGCCGTTTAGGACTTCCCCCGACGGCTAGAGAGGCTGAATTCCGGCTTTTCGGACGGTTTCGGCTCGGAGGCAAAAGGGCGCGAATTGCACATTCGACAACAACGTCTCCCACCCAAATGAAATTAACCCACATCCTTGGAGATGCCGGGCGTGAGCCCGTGGAGGCGTGCGACGACGGTACCCGGCGCGGGGACTACTGCGCGAATGTGGTTACAAACAGCGAAAGTGCTTCGCGACACCAAACTCATAAGAATTCGTATCCCAGGCGGCCGATGAAGAGGTAATTCCTGCCCTGCCGTCCTGCCGATGCTTGTTTGCGCGACTCTTCCGCCCAGGGCTGTTGCCGCAGGAGGAGCCACCCGCTCGACACAGCCAGCGAGAGGCGTGCATAACAAGCACGTTTGTAGTCGTGACGGTAGCTGCGCTTCGGGTGGGCGATCAGGAGAGTATTCATTGCCACGCCCTTGAGCCAGAGATTGTCGGCGAGATACTTCTGCCATGAGTTGTCGCTGCAAGAGGAGCCAGCCGCTCGAACACGCCAGGAAGAGACCGATATACAATGCACAATTTCAGTCGCGACGGTTTTTGCGCTTCATCCCCGGCCACGTTCGGCCTTCAGGGGCCGCGTTTTTTTGTCTATAACTATACAGCTCCCTCCAGTGGTTCCTATCATGCCACAAGTACGTATAATTATTATTGCAGTTGCGATAAGACAGATGCCGTGTACAGAACACCACTTGCATCGTTTTCTGTTTGCGTGGGCAGCGTGCCACGCAAGCAATATGGAGCCATCGTGGCTCGAAAAAGAAGGCGGTACCACCCAAACCTACTGAACGACCAGCCGGTACGAACACTCTACTACGCGTCAGGCACGGCGTTGTTTTTTTTCATCCGCGGTGTCGACGACAAAGTGTTAGTGTATCGCAAAATGACGCAGATGACAACACCTGCAAGTTCGCAAGGCCTGCGGACTCGAAGGTCGATTTCGGCGATGGCATTTGCACACTTGCGGGGTGGGGTGCCTCGGACAGGCCGTTGTGCCAGCCAGTTTAGGCTGCGTGGCAAGAGGCCCAAACCCTGGTATATCGTGAGCTTGAACTCATCAAGAAGAGCCGATCTGGCGATTGGGGCGACCCAGTGGATCTCGACGTGCGGGCCAAGAAAATTAACATTTCTGCGTAGTGCGACATCCGCTTGCCTACGTCCTCGGAAACCATCCGTCGATGGGGCGCTTGGTGCACGAGGACGATCGCAAAACCCCCGCGGTGCGCGACCTCCGCAAAGGGCGCGCCCTCAACAAGGAGGCCGGCCAGGACAAACCCGAGGACAATAACATGCATACCCATGCGTTTACCTGAAAATACCGCGCCCTCTTGAACACGATGGCGTGGGCCGCCGCGCCCGAGTGGACGACGGCGGATTGGTCGGCGCTGCTGGATTCCCACGAGCGGGTAGCGACGAAGATGCACGAGAAACAGGTCGAGCGTTTCCCGAGCGTGGAAGCCGTGGGGCACGCAGACCAGCAGATGCGCGCGAAGCGGGCAAGCGCCGTGCGAAACGAAAACGAGCCGCTCACGGAGACCGCGAAGGACGGCCGAGCGGGGGCCCCTCTTCGCAGAGCCCCACGCCGACCTGGCCAGCACGGGGGGCCAGGGCGACGGAGCCCCTGGGCCGGCCATGAAGGCCCGCGCGGCCTGCGAGACGGTCGCGGCCGACGGCTCGGGCAAGGAGTTCTGCAGGCCCTGCAACCGGGGCAAGTGCAACCGCGGCAAGCGGAGCCAGTTCAAGCGCGCAACATGTAGGGCCGCGGGGGCAACCGCCCAGCCTGAGCCTGCGACAACGAATTCCGCCCGCGACCCCCCCGCGCGACCCCCTCGCGCGGGGGGGCGTTCGCCCTCGGCGAGGAGGGGCGGGCGATGCTCGAGCGAGGGTGATTCTACACCGCGCGCGAAGCGTCTGAGAGAGCAGTCGCTTTGAGCTGCGTGGTGGGCCTCGGCGGCGCCCGTGGCAGTCGGTGACCGCGCGCGCGGGCCGCGCGATCGCGGGCCGCTCGCTGCCGGTGGACGCCGGCGCGGCGCCCTAGGTGCCCGAAGGCGTTGCGCTTCGGGTGTCGTTGGAAAACGCGACAACTTTGGAACGCCCAATGCGCGCTGAAGCCGCGTTGCGCGTTTCGGGTGAGGAAGCGCGCTGCAGGCGCGCTGCCGATCTGGGGTGCGTGAAAAAAGACCAGGTTGGAAGCTCGCGCGCGCACGTCTGAATGGGCTAACGAATTGGGGCTCGAGAGGGAAATCTTGGGCTACCGCCCTGCATCTCGACGCGCGCCAGGCAATCTACCGCGTGCGCGGGCTCCTCCCGAGAAGGCCGGTCGGCGCGTCAAGGCACAGGGACAAGGCGCACTTCGAGTCTTTGCACTCGGGGCGGCCAGCTTCGGGCGCAATCCAGCTATCGGGCGTCTGGAGATTGGCAGAGCGCGTCGCGTCAGTCGGCCTGCGGGTCTGGATCAAAGAGGCGCCAGAGAGAAACCGTCGCATCGCTGCTGGCGCGGATCGGGCGACGTCGCCGTGGGCACGGCAGCGCGGTCAAATCGCGAGAAAGAGATTGCCGCTGGCGCTCTTGCGGGGGCCATTCTCTGTTCCGGAAGTCGACCTCGCCAGCGCGGCGGTGCGCCTCTGTTTCTCGTTGCGGGGGCGCAGGCCCACGGGCGCGTCGGAGGCGCGCATCGTAGAGGACCTCAAAGCCAATGGCGCGAACGCAGCCCCCCGCGCGACAGAGGCGCACACTCCAGACGAGTGGGACAGAACACTGGGGCGCTGGAGTGCCCCTCGCTGGCGTCAGATCGGACTGTGGCGGCGCTTTCCGTCAAAGTCCGCTCGGCCCAGACCAGGCGCTGCGGGCGCGGTTCGCGACGCGACATCCGGAGCGGCTCGAGCCAGCCCACTTGCGCACCTAGGGACATGCACCCGGAGCCGATGGGTCGCAGTTTAGAAGCGCGGGCCCGGCGGCCATTTACATTTGAGGCTTGGTGCGCGGTGCGCGCTCGCGCGGCCTCGTGCGCGCAGCCTTTCTGGGCGCGGTTTCACCTGCCGATTGGGGCGAGGAGGGGGTTCGATCTTGCGAAGCCGCCTCTGCCAGCTGGTGCGTGGAAGCTGCTCGGGGTGGAGCTCTTAGCTGGACCTCCTGGCCCCCCTCGGCCTGTCGCTCGGTTGCCTGATCAGGAAGCGTCGGCCGTGATCTGCGACGTCGAGCACGAGCTGCCGGCTGCCGGCTGCAGAGGCCAGCCCCCTCGGAGGCGGCACGGGGCGGGCGCGGTCGTTTCTATTCGGCCGCGACGGTTCCGCGACGCTGGTGCCATTGAGGAGCCCGCAGTTCGATGGCAACGGGCGGCCGGGCACGCCGGCGCCCCTCAATTCTTCGTTGTGCCTGTTCCAGTCAGGCCGCGAGGTTTTCTGCGATCTTTCATCGTGGTCTCTCGCTGTCGCGACGGGCGACGGCAAAGGCGCGGGGCGAGTGGCAGCGAGCGCGCGGAAATCCCGCGACCCAATCTTCAGGCCAATGCCCGCCGCCACCGCGGTGCCAAAGCCTTGGATGAAACGGCGCCTTGGCCGCGACCATGCGAACGCCGCCCGGGAGATCGAAGCGGTGGTCTGTCGGCGCTGGCTGCGTGGCCGTCGCTGTTGCGCAGGTTTGCAATTGCGCGCGTGTGTTCATGCCATTGACAACAATTTTGCGAAGGAGTAGTTGATCAAGGGCTCGCCAAGGGGCGCCCGCACGAACCAGATCGGGCACGCTATTTGGGAGGGCGCTGGTCAATATGCATTTGCCCGCGACGGGGGCGGGTGGCTTCAGCAGATCACCCCGTCGACGAGGCGTCGCGCGGGGATCTCGCCGACCTCTACGAGCGGCGGCGGGCGGTCGTCGACGCGGTGCTCCCGGACATCTGGGGGCGGGGCGCCGCAGGCCGGGATTAGGCCTGGGTCGATATCGAATGTAACAGTCGGGGCCCCGCTTGCCCGGCTTGTGACTGGCTGTCCTTTCTTGCAAACGAGACCTCGATGACAAATGCGGCAGCAGCGTGGCTTTCAAACAGGGGCCACTTATCTACGTGCAAGCGGCGTTTGGGATTCGGGTCGCCAGCGTGGACCCCCGACAGGGTCTGCCTTATTGCAAGCGCTGTTTGAGAACCGGGTCGCAACAGTCGTCGTAGTCGTCGTTTTTGTCTGTTTCCTTTGTCTCCTCTTCTTACGCCTAGCAGCAGCAGGTTAAGTGCATGCAGAAAGAGAGTGCGGGCAATGAGACCGTCTGTTCCCACTAATCGGCTTCGTGGCCACTGCCCAGACCCCGTTTTGCCATGGCCTTCATCCTGCTGGCGGTCATGACGTACACACCATCGACGTCATAACCGTCACCCCTGTTGAGGTCAGGGCGAGTCCCCGCATCGAGGTCCTGTCCTCCCTTCCCGTTGCAACCAGGCCCTTCCTCCATGGCGTTAACATGCTTTTTGGCTACATGTGGCCCATGATCCGCACTCGCCTCCTGGTCATTACCGTTCCGTTCCGATGAGTCTTCCGGCGGGCCCAAGTACAGTGAACGCAGGACCGAGATTCGAAGCGAAGCGCAGCGAACCCTCAATTTTGGACCTTACAGATAGATGTATGTTCGTATCTGTCTGTTGACATCCACGTATACTGGGAATTACATGGGATTTGATCCTCGCAGGAGCTTGTCGCACCGCGAACTCTTCAATGCCGAAAGGTGGGCGTCGGATTTCAGACGCCCTGACGCGCAAGCCAAATATTTGGTGACAGCCTGAGGTTAGCGCTGACCTCACGGTCCGCCTCCACCTCCAGCCCCTCTCCGGCCGCTTTCCTTCTTGCTCCTCCGAAGCGATTTGGCTCAAAAAGGACAGCTTCGAAACCAACGCGCGCCAGAATAGCCTTTCGCAGCGGTTCCACCGCCATGGCGTACGCAGGGCAGATGGTTTCTCTTGCGCACAAGTTCGTCACGGCGCCGCAGGCGAGCGCTCAGGGCTTCTGCAACGTCGTCAAGCTCGGCACGTTTTGCCGCACCGTGGTATGGCCGTGCCTGCCGCCGCTCCTGATGTACCAGTACATCCGTGGGACCTCGGCTGCGAAAACCGTGCAGCCACGCACCGTGGTACAGACACGTCGGTCTGTCCGTCCTTCCCTTGCATCCTTGTCCCGGCCGTCCAGCCCATCCCTGGGCGATCACTTCACAACACGGGAGCCCGCCGCCAACCAATCGAGCATGGACGCTCGATCGATCCTGTTTTCTTACCTGGCGTCGTTGCTCCCGCGCCTGGCCTCGGGCCCTGCTGAGAGCGGTCCTGGCCCAGGAGGTGTCCCCAGTTCTTTGCGCCACTCTGGAGCCCTTCGGGGCCCTGTGGGCCTCGTGAGGGGTGCTCTGTCCACCGGGGCCTCCGCAGAAATCCTGGTGACGCCTTTGGGCAGGGACCACTCTTGGCATCACCCGACGGTCGTGGCCATCAGCAGCAGGCCTCCGCATGCCCAGTCTGGGGCCAGCTTTCAGCACGTAGCGGAGTAAAGACAGATCACTTTGATATTGAACGCGCGATCGGCCAGACGAGATTTCGGTGTGCATCGGCCCTTGCTGGCCACGCTGGGAGGCCAGAGTCCACCAAGATTCGGGGCCCAGAGTGAGCCTGCAGAGGCTTGTTGGTGGTCGCGGAATATGTCCCATCCCGCTTGTGTGGTGTGCTCGTATTGAGTGGAGCGTTGAGTGGAGCGTTGCTGTTTCCATCCCGCCCCGTCTTATCCCTCACAGGAAGAAATAGGTACCGATACAGCCTCCATTGCCTCGGTTTCGCCCGTTTGGGCCTCGTAGGAGACCTGAGTTCTGGTCAGAACGCACCCTGGGGGAGGTCCTGGGAGTGGTGTCTGTACCGTTTGGTTTCCGCATCTGGCCCCCTTCCCCATCTCTCTCTCTCTCTCTCTCTCTTTCTCTTTCTTTTTTTGTTGTTCTCTTTCTCTCTCTCTCTCTTCCGGATTATCCTTGCAAACCCTCCGGTGTCAGGTGCCCGTTTGGAACGGAGCCTTGCCTCTCCCTTCTTCTTCTCTCCAGCGGAGTGCGGCGCTGCGCAGACGTCGCAGATCAAAACGGAGCCTCGCCCCTCCCTGGTGCAGCGGGGCGATGCTCCTTCGTCTTCTCCGCCATCGTGTTTCTTTCCTTTCCCCCCGCCTCATTTCTCGCATGAGACACTGCTTGTCCTGGAGATCCCTCACGCTCACAGCTGGATCCTCCTTCAAGTTAAAGTCAGAAAAAGTAGCCCCAGGGAGAACAGGGGGAGAAGCGGTCTTGCTTCGGCTGTTTCCAGATGTTCTGTCTCAGTTGTTCCAATGGAGGCCCATGGCTTGCGGGGCCCTGCAGGCGTTCAGCTCCATGGCGCCCAAGTAAAAGGAACATCATGCCCTCTCCCTTCGTTTTGGTCGGACCATGTTGGTGTGACCATCTGGCGCGTTCCAGACAGGTCTGCGCCTTCGGGAATCGAAGGAATTGGCGTCTCTTCCTCGGCGGAAGGCCAGCGGAAGGCGGCGTCAGTAAAAAGCGGGTGGCTCCGCCGGCGGAAGCCGGCGGAAGGCCGGCACCTGGCGGCAGGCGTAAAGCATGCACCCCCCAAGAGAGGACAGCAGGTGTGGGTTCCGGGTGTCCGGAGCCCACCATGTCTGTTGCAGATGCGTTTCGAATGCTCGCTCCTGCCTCTGAGGACCGATGTCGACATGTACGCCACGGAGGTGCTCTACTACAAGTCGGGCTCCAAGGACCACAAGGCATTCTACGACTCGGGCCGCGCAGGCATCTCCGGCCACTGGAGGGTCCAGCAGGACATGGAAGCCATCCGCGCGGCGGCGAACCCAGAGTGAGCGTGGCTCGGCGTCGGTGCAGATCCTGGGAGAGGGGAGCCGCCCCTCTCCGATCCAGTTCGGCGGCTACAAACGGCAGGGGGAGAGCGCTCGTATGAAGCACACTGCTGTTGGCTTGGGGCCAGCCTACGCGGCACATATGACCAACACCGCTGCAATTTTTTATGGAGAGGCACGCCGTTTCAACTGTGGTCCGAACTGGTGCAGAAAATTTTGATGCTCAAGCCCATCCAGCAAACTATTCTCAGGCGAGTTGTCGTGAGAAGTGGAGTGAACGAACACCTTGCAGAGGAACAGCGAGGAGGAGGAGGAGGAGGTAGCAGTAAGTTCTGAAATTGTGATGGTCAGCCCTGGCGGCCCTGAAACACCACAGACTCGGGGCTCTATGTGAGCTTCCTGGAGAGGTAGTTTGAGGCCATCCCTGCGGTTGCTTCTGGCTCTTTCGGCAGGCTTCGGGGCCCTCTTGATACTCCCTTGGAGCTCTCGTGGGGGCTCTCGAAACCTCGGCACTGTGTCGCCCTCTGGGCCCTCTTGGGGCTCTCCTGAAGGGCTGTCGGCAAGAGCCCGGAGGCGCTATCGGGGCATCCTGAGGCTCTTCGGGACCCCTCCCAGTGCTCCTCGGGTCATTTCGGAGCGATCCAGAGACCTCATTGGCCCGTCGGAAGCCAGAAAAACGAAGATGCGTGCACCACAGATGTTCACACCACATGGAGGCTGGTTATCAGTATAGTGGGCTCGGCCGCATCCCTATCAGGCTAAGGGGCCAGCCGTGAGCCACCCTGGGGCCTTTCGGGGGGCACCATGGAGCCGAGTTGGAGGCCATCCGCTCCAACTGGCCATACGCAACCCAGAGATGTAATTGATATCCGAACCTTTCTTGGGGCCATTGTTGGGTCAAAGCGGTCCTGACTACAGCGGGCTAGCCCCTAATTTTCAGCGGACCATGTATTTGAGCCTGTGCCCCCGTGTTTCTTGTTTTTGTGGTTTTCTTTCTCGTCCAGGCAAGACCAGGAAAAGCAGGACAAGGCAAGGAACGCATCAAAGATGGCGCCAGATGGGCCACGCTGGCCCAAGATGGCTTCCAGGGAGTCCACGAGGTTGAGGAGAATCCCAAATTAGTGAGCTCATTTATGGTTTAAGGATGCTCGTCTTCTCGCGTCTGCGGCTGACGCCTGGGTCTCAGAGACCTCAAGGTTGGGCACGAGGCGCTAAATGCCTTTCAACTGTACCCGAGGGGAGCCCCAAGAGAGGCACCACAAAAAACACAAAGTTCCAAATGCCTGCAAGAAGCCTCAACAGGGCCTCAACCGGGACCCAAGAGCGTCCCGCAAGAGCCAAGAGCAACCCCGACTCTCAAATCCAAACCTCTGCCAACAAACGAGTTTCATGCGTGATTCGTCTTCATCCTCGCGAGATGGGTACCTTCTTTCTCTGGAGTGGGGACTAGTTTGTGTTAATGTCTCTGTTGTTACTGCTGCTGCTATTGTTGTTGCTGTTGTTGTTGTTGTTGCTGTTGCTGTTGGTGCTGTTGTTGTTGCTGCTGTTGTTGTTGTTGTTGTTGTTGTTGTTGTTGATGGGTTGTTGTTGATGGTGGTGTGGGTGTTGCTGTTGGTGTTGTTGGTGTTGTTGGTGCTGTTGATGTTGTTGGTGGTGCTGGTGTTGGTGTTGTTATTGGTGGTGGTGTTGGTGTTGTTATGTTGTGGTTGTTGTTGTTGTTGTTGTTGGTGTTGTTGTTGGTGTTGTTGTTGTTGTTGTTGCTGTTGTTGTTGTGTGTGTGTGTTGTGTGTGGCGTTGCTGTTGCAGTTGTTTGTGTTGTGGTTGTTGTGGTTGTTGTTGTCGGTGGTGGTGGTGTTGCTGCTGCTGTTGTTGGTGCTGTTGCTGCTGTTGTTGTTACTGCTTCGTTGTCGTTGCCGGTGTTGTTGTTGTCGCTGTTGCTGCTGCTGCTGCTGTTGTTGTTGGTGTTGCTAGTGGTGCAAGTGCTGGTGTTCTAAGGCGACCACGCCCAGACGGCTAGTGGGATTTTCTCCTCATTATCTTCCTCCTCCTCCACCTCGTCCTCCCCCATGGGCCTTCTTCTCCACCCCTTCCTCCTCCTGCGTTCCCATTATCCTTTTTCATCGCTCCTCCTTGACTTGCCCTGCTCTGCCCCCCTCCGTCCTTTCCCTCTCCCTCCTCCTGGCACCTCCTCCCTCACCCACCCTCCTCTCCCTGCTGATGTTCTCCCTTCCTCCTCTTCATCCTTACCCTCCTCCTCCTTACCCTCCTCCTCCTCCTCCTCCTCCTCCTCCTCCACCTCCTCCTCCTCTTCCTCCTCCTTCCTCCTTCTCCCCGCCCCACCTCCTCTTCTGCCCTTCTTCCTGGTGGCTCATGCGACATCATCCCTCGTCCTCCCTCCTTGCCACTTCCCTCACCCCCACGGAAGGAGGTGGAAGTGGAGAACGCATACGAAAAGGAGGAGGGGGGAGGCGGGATGAGGGCGGAGGGAGGAGGAGGGATCAGGAAGGAGAGAGGATGGAGGAGGGAGTAGGGAGGAGGTAGGATGATGATGATGAGGAGAGAGAGACGGGAGGAGGGAGGAGGGAGGAGAGCTGAGGGCGGAGGGAGGAGGGACGAGGGATGATGCAGGTTGTGGTGAAGATGAAATGATGATGACGAAGACGATGGTGATGATGGTGGTGATGATGTTGAAGTTGATGTTGATGCTGCCTCTGGTGATGTTGATTGTAATGCTGATGATGTTGTTGATGATGATGGTGCTGCTGATGATGGTGATGTTGATTGGTTGAGGAGGAGGAGGAGGAAGAGGACGAGGAGGAAGAGTAGGAGGAGGAAGAGTAGGAAGACGACGATGAGAAGGAGGACGATGATGAGGAGGAGGAAGAGGAGGAGGAGGAGGAGGAGGAGGAGGAGGGGGAGGGATGAGTGAGGAGGAGCAGGAGGAGAACGAGACGGAGGAGGAACCCGATCGCCCAAGGCGGTCGTTTCCTTTTATTTTGCCACACCGACGCTTCAGCACATCCGTGCTCCAGCCCGTGCAGTGTCAGAACGACCGAACCCTGACATCCTCCGATCTGATTTGTTCAATCCGCCGCCCCAGGGCTCCCGACCTCCGCCTCGCGGCCAGTCCTTGGCTCTGGATCCTTTTTGTTGATGGTCCCACGGCCCGATGACGGGCCCCGAGGCCGAAAGCGAGGAAACGACGCCGGCATTGAAACGATCATTCCAGACACCTGGCGCTCCGATCTCTTCGTGCCACGGGCCCCCCGACCTCTCGACCACTTCCCAGGGACGGGCTTCTCATCCCGACTCAAATCTTGGCGGTCCCGACACCTGGTCAGCGCCCCGAGGGGCCGAAAACGCAAAAAAGTACATGTACATGTATATGTGTATGTATGTGTGCATGTATCTGTATTTGCATACGCATGTGCAAGTCTATCTGTATGTGCATACGTGTCTGTATTCCTGGCACCGTCGCGATCTGCTCGAGGCGCCGGATGTCCGGGGCGCGCGCGTCCTCCCAGCGTTTTGCTGCCTGGCGTGCGCCCCGCCGTCCTCCTCGGGCGCCCCCCCCCGACCCTCGGGCGCTGCGTCAGGGGGGGGCGACGAACTGGGGGGTGGGGACAGGGGCACCGCTCGTGCACCTCAGAGGGCCCTCTGGGGCCCGAAAGGGGGGGGGGGGGGGGGGGGGGAGAAAGTTGTGCACCTCTCGTGCACCTCGAACGGCGCCCTCTGGGGCCCGAAGGGGGCACGAGAACGGTGCCCGGTTCTTCGCCCCCCCCCTTGCAGCGCCCCCCCGTGAGTAGCGCCCCCCTCCTTGTATGTACCCAGGCCACCGGCGTCATGGCTTTGTCACAGCGTCGACCCTCAGAGGTCTCGACGACTCGTTCCCCCAGGCTGGTGTTTCGTCCCGAGCCGATGTCTGACGACCCCGAGGCCCGGTAAGGGCTCCCAGGGGCTTAGAATAAAGGAACATTTGCCGTCGTGATTCGTTCATGACTCGAGGGGGCCTGAGTTACAGTCAACACTGATAGTAAGGATGGGGAACTTTCCCAGGTTTCCCTTGCCGTTGGCTTATCCTTGGTCACTTTCGTGGGCCGCCCCCTGCTCGTCAAGTGTCGGCATGTTCTTCCAAAGCTCTTGCATCCTTACCACGGGGCTATGCATCCTTTCTATCAGTTTTGACTGCAACCCACCCCAGGAGGCATTACAGAAAGGGCCTCGCCCTCGAGGATCGAAGGAGTTGGCATCTCTTCCTCGACGGAAGGCGGCGGAAGGCCAGCATCAGGCGGCGGAAGTAGAACGGCTGCGGCTCCGCCGGTGGATGCCGGCGGAAGTGAAAGCTGCGCCGCCCCGAGTGCAGAGAGGACAGCGTTTTGGGGCTCTGGGTCTCCGGAACCCGACGCTGTGGCTGCGATGCCCCCCCTCCTCACGCGACGCCCAGCCGCCCCCCTCCCCCGCCTCGTAGCAGGGACACTGCCGGTGGCGCGCCCTCTCGGCGCGGCGCCGCTCCGCGAGGGCGGCGGCGGGGGCCCTGCTGGAAGGCCAACCGGCGCCCCGCCCCGCGAGGGCGCGCCGGGCGCGGCCGTGGCTCGTGGGCGGCCCCGGTCGGGAAGTTTTGGGCCGGGCGCTTTCGCGGGATGCCGGGCCCCGGGACCCTCGCAGATCCATCCGGCTCGTAAAGTGGCGCAGAGAGATGGGGTATGGGGATTTCGTCATGGATGTCTCACGGTGTTTCAATTTTTGCGTGCCGTCGGATCTCAGGGGATCATGTGTGTCGCTCCGGCAGTTCTGGCCCACCACGCCTCGGCGCGACACGCTATCCACTTCCCTAGCCACCATGCTTCACCGTCTCGAGCCTTTCCGAGCCCCCCGTTCCGCGCAGTGCACGGCATATTCTGTCGCCGGGGCCGCCGCTGCGACACGCCATCCAAAAGTTCTTGGCCGTAGCGATCCCAGACTTTTGGCGTCTCGAAAAGGTTGAGGCGGAGTTAGTTGACAGG